AAACCACTTCCAGACAAGGAAACAACAAAGGAGTAAAGGCATTATTGTGTTGACTGGGAATTGAACTCAGGTCAACTCTTTGGAAAGCAGCTATACTCACCATTATACCACCAACATAGCTGGCAGAAGCAGCTTTCCTGCAGGGTATGGGTGCTAGCAAAGGGGGTGACACATGACCATGTAGAGTGAACGGGCTGGAAGCTGCTTGACAGCTGGGAGCAGAGTCACCATCCCAGAGTGACTGAAGGGAGCAAAGGTGAAAACAGAGCTCATTGGGAGCTGGCCCCACACCCAACCCGCCCCTAGGAGAGGGGAACTGAAGCTCAACTTCAATCATAGAAAAATCTTCCCTGAGAAGGAAGGGGACAGCTTGTTTTAAAGACAAGGTTTGTGTTTGTTCCTGCTACATACAGAGGGGCTGGACAGTGCTGATTCCAGCCCCAGACTCCAGGACGATAAGGAAAAAATTCAGGCTGCCAGTGACCTGCAGGAGGGAGATGATTTTTTGACAGTGATTGTCATAAATATAAAGGGAAGGGTAAACCCCTTTGAAATCCCTCCTGGCCAGGGGAAAGCTCCTCTCACCCGTAAAGGGTTAAGAAGCTAAAGGTAACCTCGCTGGCACCTGACCAAAATGACCAATGAGGAGACAAGATACTTTCAAAAGCTGGGAGGAGGGAGAGAAACAAAGGGTCTGTGGGTCTGTCTATATGCTGGTTTCTGCCGGGGATAGACCAGGAATGGAGTCTTAGAACTTTTAGTAAGTAATCTAGCTAGGTACGTGTTAGATTATGATTTCTTTAAATGGCTGAGAAAAGAACTGTGCTGAATAGAATAACTATTTCTGTCTGTGTATCTTTTTTGTAACTTAAGGTTTTGCCTAGAGGGGTTCTCTATGTTTTGAATCTAATTACCCTGTAAGGTATCTACCATCCTGATTTTACAGGGGGGAATTCTTTATTTCTATTTACTTCTATTTTTATTAAAAGTCTTCTTGTAAGAAAACTGAATGCTTTTTCATTGTTCTCAGATCCAAGGGTTTGGGTCTGTGGTCACCTATGCAAATTGGTGAGGCTTTTTATCCAACATTTCCCAGGAAAGGGGGGTGCAAGTGTTGGGAGGATTGTTCATTGTTCTTAAGATCCAAGGGTCTGGGTCTGTAGTCACCTAGGCAAGTTGGTGAGGCTTTTTACCAAACCTTGTCCAGGAAGTGGGGTGCAAGGTTTTGGGAAGTATTTTGGGGGGGAAAGACGCGTCCAAACAGCTCTTCCCCAGTAACCAGTATTAGTTTGGTGGTGGTAGCGGCCAATCCAAGGACAAAGGGTGGAATATTTTGTACCTTGGGGAAGTTTTGACCTAAGCTGGTAAAGATAAGCTTAGGAGGTTTTTCATGCAGGTCCCCACATCTGTACCCTAGAGTTCAGAGTGGGGGAGGAACCTTGACAGTGATGGACGCCTCATCTTAAAGGCCTTTGTTTGCCTCCTTCTAGTGACTGGTACAGGAATGCAGCTCCCACTCCTTGGTCTCTCCTGAGGAAATAATGTTTCTGTGCAAAACACCAAAGCTTTTAACAGAAAGGAGGGAAAGAAAATGGCCACAGGATGGGACCAAGACATAAGGAATGAAACGGAAGATGCTTCTTCCATGTGTATTGATTTTGAACCTTGTTGTTTGTGATGTTGGTGTATCCATGTTAGTCCCGGGACATGAGACACAAGGAGTGGGGGTCACATAATATCTTTTAAAGGATGAAGGTTGGGAGTGTTATTTACTCCTTCTCATAACACAAGATCTAGGGGTCACCAAATGAAATGACTAGGCGGCAGGTGTGAAAAGAACAAAAGGAAGTATTTCTTCACACAACGCAGTGTCAACCTGTGGAACTCTTTGCCAGAGGATGTTGTCAAAGCCAAGACTAGAACAGGGTTCGAAACTGGATTACATAAGTTCATGGAGGACAGGTCCATCAATGGCTATTACCCAGCATGGGTAAGGATGGTGTTCTATCCTCTCTTTGCCAGAAGCTGGGAATGGGCGACAGGGGATGGATCACTTGAGGGTTCTGTTCATTCCCTCTGGGCACCTGGCATTGGCCACTGTCAGAAGACAGGGTAGTGGGCTAGACGGACCCTTGCTGTGACCTAGTATGGCCGTTCTTACGTTCTAACTTCTGTTTGTGGAAGAGACAAACTTTGGGTCTACACAGAGCTGAAGAAGAGTTCTGGGTTAGCTCCAAAGCTCGCCTTCACCAACAGAAGCTGGTCCACTAGAAGCTCTGACCCTCAGCTGCCTTGTCTCTCCTGGACTCTGAAAAGTGTTTTCTCTCAACTCCCTTTGGAGAGAAGTTAAGTTTTCCCTCTGGAAAACCATAAGGCTGAAGCACTTATATTGATTGTGATACTAGGATGGAAGGATTATTTAATAGTGTAAATAAATGAATCTAAACCTGAGCTTCCTGTTTTGAAACTGTTTTTCCCAACTCAGTTCCAAATTCTCTTCTAGAAAGGCCTCCAAGACGTATGCCCATGCCAGCAGAAGTGGCAAGGAGAAAGCCCCGTAGTACTACTCTTAGTCCCTGGTGGATTGTTCAGTGGCAGAGGAAGTTGGTTAGTTTGGTGCTGAGAAAGCTGCCAGGAAAGGTCTCTGGGCACCAGATCTCCCTGCTTCTTCCAGCACACCCCTGGCACTTTACCTGCCCCAGTCACTGCTGTAGGAGTATCCTACATGCACTTAGCCAAAAGCCTTTCACAGTCTTCTTAGTGAAATTGGTAGTATATCAGTCTCATAATCTGAAGGTCCTGAGTTCAAGCCTCAGAGAGCACAGGTGGTTTTGCTCCCTGCTTCAACTTTTCTAAAGGAAACCCCAGAGAAAAGAAACTGGAGCATACTGTCTTCTGTACACCCTCCCACCCATCTTACACACAGGAGACTTTTCTAAGACATTAACTCTTCCTTCTCCTTTATGATTCTTTAATGCAGCTGGAAATACCAGTTCCTTGAAGCCCCTTTCCTCAGAGAACACAACCACAGTGCTGTGAGAAAGCTGGGGGCTGCCAGGTTGTCGTGGGCAAGTAGTTAAAGGGATGCACTAAAAATCTAGCAGAGTCATTCCCCTCCTCTCCACCTCCAACCAGCTTTGAATCTTGATAACTGTGATGCTCCGATTCCACTGCCTCAGCATCCTCGACCCCCACTGGAGGCCGCTGTAGAGTCCTTAGACCCCTGTTCATATTTCAGACCCCAGCCGGTGCAGCATCCCTGCCCAGCAACTCACCATCTGCCCCAGGAGAACCAGCTGGTGGGCTGCACCCACAGGCATTTATACCACTTCCCTCAGAGCAGCTGTTGGCAGTTAATCCCCACCTAAGGCTCGGGGGAAGGAGCTGGGGATCACTTATTTCTTCCATACATCGCGTGTCACAGTGTTTGAATGCATTCTCTCTAAAACTGATTTAAATTTAGAGCCCCTCCCCCATTTCTGATTTATAAGTGCTTCATTCCTGTACATAAAACGTAAGAACAGCCATACTGGGTCAGACCAATGGTCCATCTAGCCCAGTGTCCTGTCTTCCAAGAGTGGGCAAAGCCAGGTGCTTCAAAGGGAATGAATAGAACAGGTCATCATCAAGTGATCCATCCCTGTTGCCCATTCCGAGCATCTTTACAGATGTACACAAAGAAACTTTTGGGAACCACTTGCAGCTACTTAGAATCATAGAAGATTAGGGTTAGAAGAGACCTCAGGAGGTCATCTAGTCCAACCCCCTGCTCAAAGCAGGACCAACCCCAACTAAATCATCCCAGCCAGGGCTCTGTCAAGCCGGGCCTTAAAAACCTCTAAGGATAGATATTCCATCACCTCCCTAGGGAACCCATTCCCATGCTTCACCACCCTCCTAGGGAAACAGTTTTTCCTAATATCCAACCTAGACCTCCCCCACTGCAATATGAGACCATTACTCCTTGTTCTGTCATCGGCCACCACTGAGAACAGCCGAGCTCCATCCTCTTTGGAACCCCCCTTCAGGTAGCTGAAGGCTACTATCAAATCCCCCCTCACTCTTCTCTTCTGCAGACTAAATAACCCCAGTTCCCTCAGCCTCTTCCTCATAAATCACGTGCCCCAGCCCCGTAATCATTTTAGTTGCCCTCCGCTGAATTCTCTCCAATTTGTCAACATCCTTTCTGTAGTGGGGGTGGGGGGCCAAAACTGGATGCAGTAGTCCAGATATGGCCTCACCCATGCCAAATAGAGGGGAATAATCACTTCCCTCGATCTGCTGGCAACACTCCTATTAATGCAGCCCAATATGCCATTAGCCTTCTTGGCAACAAAGGCACACTTGGCTCATATCCACCTTCCCATCCACTGTAATCCCCAGGTCCTTTTTTTGCATAACTGCCACTTAGCCAGTCAGTCCCCAGCCTGTAGCGGTGGATGGGATTCTTCTCTCCTAAGTGCAGGACTCTGCACTTGTCCTTGTTGAACCTTCTCAGATTTCTTTTGGCCCAATCCTCCAATTTGTCTAGGTCACTCTGGACCCAAATCCTACCCTCCAGAGACTGGATGCTTTACATGCTCTCACAGAGGGAAGAGCACACGTTCCATGATTTCACAGGCAGAATTTTAGGGCTATTTTGATTCAGGGAACTATGCTATCGGGTGCTTTCCCTGTGTGGATTTGACAGGTGGATCAATATAAGATGCACATTGTGACCCTTCTCAGGGTGCTGAGGGCTGAGAGTCTCCTTGTTGCCTCCTGGACACTAGGAAGAGGGACTTTTGCATTTGGGAGCTGGATGTTAGCAACCAAACTCACCAGCCTGTCAGGCACTCAAGCACCCTTCTCTGAGCTACAGCAGCCCTGCCAGTTGACAATAGAGGCACCCGAACCCCTGGAGTTCCATCAGTGTGTCCCACTCTGAGGTCTAGCCCCGATCACCAGATATTCACAGAAATCCCAGATCCCCTCTGCCCAAAGCAATGGTATAGCCCAGGTTACCAGTTTTACTGTAGATCACTGCTACCATATCACACACAGCACTTGAGTACAGTTATTGAACAAACAGAAATGTATTTAACAAGAGAGAGAGATTTAAACAGAAACAAATGAGAGTGACAGAAACCAATCGTTACCAACAAAACAAAAATCACAAAATGCAACCTACACTTTTTAATAGTTACCTTTCCCGATCTAAGTAGATTCTCACCTCACATTTCAGTCTATTGCAGTGATTGCTAGTCCCTAGGAGCCATGGCCCTGCCTTTCATGAAGAACCACTGGTTGTTATGGATCTCTTTTGTCATAAACTGAAGCAGTCTTTTGTCTTTATTTGCAGAAAGGATGATTTCCTCATTGTCATATTAGCCTTTTCACTTCCACAGGGTTTTGATGTCTACAGTTTGGCTTTCATAGTTTTCCATTGGCTTTTCTGGGTTGGTGTAAAGGTTGACAATGGAGCAATACGTTGCATAATTAGCTAGCAAGGGAGGGGTGACAATTCCCTCCCACTGGAATGGGCCGTCCCCCACAAGACCAATGATTGGAGTGACTCACTTTCATGACAATACCATTTTCCGTGCACTTACATTACTTCTTCAATATGGCTCATACACACCTCTCTCAGTGATTAGGAGTATCAGTAATTAACAAGCTTTCAGTAGAGATCTCACTGCTATGCTTCCTGGATAAATATCATAAAATCAGTGTATTAGGTACAGCAAGTTTCTCAGGTCTGATACAGAAGTTGCTTGTGAACAACAGTGACCCATTTGGCAATCGGCCCCAATGAGTTTTTGTCTCTCAAGCACTGAGCTATACCGTCACTCCCTGATATAATAGAAAGGCCAGCACAAAAAATAGAGAAGGGAACAATAAGATACTAAAATGGCAATGGTTGGAACTCTATTTCTCTCAGTCTTTGGACTGATGGGTTCTAAGAACTGTAGCTACAGTTGAGGAACCAGGCAATGGGACAGCTGGTTCAGCCCTCCATGCTAGCAGCTTTCTCACATATAGTGAGATGAGTCAAAATTAGAATTGATGTCATGACTCGCTTCCCATAGGAGATCACTCTGTCTAAGGCTATGTCTACACTTCAAACACTGGAAGTACTCTAAGAATCTAACATTGTCTTCACTGGGTCTAAGGTCACATTAACTACTTCTCTCAGCAGAGTGGATTTTTCACACTCCTGACAGATGTGGCCATGTCAACATAGCTTTTCAGCGTAGACGAGCCTTTAGATGGCTTTTTGATATAAAAGGCAATGGACTTCAACCTTTTCCTTAATACTGATGGTTGATGATTGAAGTTTTCCCACCTGCTGGTCACATCCTATGACAGATGTCATGCCTCTCCTTTGCAAATTAGAGAAGTGGGGAAGTCAGTGACCCTTACAGTCTAAGCAGGTAAAAAAATTATACAACTTGTCTCTGCAAATAGTTTTCATTGGGCCAATATTCTCTTATACACTCTTTTTCACACACATTCTCCCACCCTAACCTTTGGAGTGAGGTTTTCTACCAGAATTCCTTATACTACAGGGGGTAAATTAAATCAAATTAACTTTTCAAGATAAGAAATCATTTCCTGTACAACTAACAAAACAAAAAACAAGACAACTTTCAGTTTTCCAAAATAATTCAGATTATCATGAGCCTCTTATTCTTTAACCAATAACTTCATCTATAATTTCATTTTCAGTGGTAACACGAATATATTCAAAGATCACAAATTCTTGTCATATATGTTAGTTTTCTTTTAATCCCCATTGCCAACAACTGAACCTTGGCTCAAGTTGTGGTCTGGCCCAACGTTGGTCCCAACCACTGCTATAAGTTCATATATCTTTGGTTCTTCTGCCATGTGTCTTGGTGGAAGGGGTCTCCTAGGTGGGAATGTTTGCATCATGAGGAAGAATCTCTCTTTTCAAACTTGTTAATGTTTCAAAGTAGGAGGAGGTAGAGGAGAAGTGATGTAAATGCATAAAACACAAGAGAAACTGTCTGGTCTACACTAAAGACATTGATCAGTGTAACTATATTGCTCACAGGAGCGAAAAATCAATACAGCTGAGCAGCGTAGTTACACAGCCCTAGGCCCCCGTGTAGATGGCATTACGTCAGCAGGAGCGCTTCTCCTGCCAACACAGTCCACCCCACACAAGCGGCGGTGGCTAATAAAGTCCAATAGTGGGAGAGATCTCTCCCGCTGGCTGAGAGCATCCGTAATAACAATGCTGCACCAACATCAGCTGTATTGTGTATCCATCGCATCAGACACAAAACCACAGAATCAGGACTCAGCATGTGTGTATCCAGAAGTCTGAAAATGGAGACTGACACATTCGTTGCCTCATTGGTTATCATCATTTCTGCAGCCTGAAAGTCCTTGTTACCCACTCAGGCAGCCAGTTTGGATCCAAAGACTGAGTGCTTCATAGGACATTCCTTCCCCTTGGATCCCAAATGGTGATTGTTCTCAGGTTGTTCGAACCCTGGCATCCTTTGGAACGGTAATCAGCAACACTGAACTAGTAAGTGGAGTGGTACAAACAATTTTCCTGGGGTCATTGGTCACCAGAGCTTCCTTTACTGGGGTGGAAACCAAGAACTGAGTGTGTATTCTTTCAACCCCAGTTCTTTTCAAATCCTTGGCCTTGGTTAGGGTAAATTTACATTTCTCTGAAGTAGAATCCTTTACAAAACCACTCAAAATCTCAGCAGTGTTAGTAAAGAATGACTTCCAGAAACATGCCCAGTTTTTCTTTAAATTTCTGATTGGAGATTTTAAATCACTACTGTTTCTTTGTTAGCATGTCAGTAAATTGGAGAGTTCTCTCCTGTTGACAGAACTGCACTTGAACGGTCTCCATGTCATCATGGAGGGATGCGGAAAAAGCAAAGCTGAAGTGAGAAATTATGACTTTAGCAAATGGCCATTTGTCTTAAATTCTCCAATAAATCTGAGCTACATCCTATCAAACAGAACTAGTATCCAACTGGGTGACCAAACACTCTTCAGGAAAGATAAAAAGCCATGTCACAGAGAGATAGAATACATGACAATGAACGTGTCAAGTGAAATTTCAGGGCAGGTTACATCTGATTATTCAGAATCAGGACAGGAGATTCTCCCATCACATTCTCCTCTGATCCATTCAAATCAGCTTCACTCAGACTGTCTCAATAGTCAGCTATGTTATTTACAAAATTTTAGTATCCTAGCATCCCCATAATGGGAGACAAAACAGCCACCTTGCCAGAAGTGACTTTACCAATAGATGGAACCTAGGATTTAAACTCCAGATGATCACACTGTGTTTGGGATCTATTTGAATTCCCCTTCTAGGTCTTTGACACTTTCACCTCCAGTCATAGTGACTCCAATATAGGATTAAAGAAGCCAAAGTATCATCTCCAAGCACAGACAACTGAGAACGCTTCATCACATGACACTTTGAGACGTCGAGCGATAGAACGCGATGAAGATAAACTCTGCATGGCTCAGACAGGAGGTAACAGTTCTGCAGTGATGGGGAAGGAGGGAATCTCTGAGTCACCCCGTCTCCTTCCAGTGTCAGAGGCTGAAAGGACACTTTTTTCCCTGCCACTGCTCCTCTTCATTTAAATATAACTTGAAAAGTTCCCAATATAACTGCTCTTCAGCACAACCCAGAGCAACGTGAGAAGAACTGGCAATGATACAATCTGTATCATCGGTGACTAACAATAACTTTGCAATAAGAGGAATGCTATAAATGTGATGCTCCCTGGTTCCTGATAGGAAGGGCATACTCAAATTACTCATGAGACAATGGAAGTGATAGAAAGGACAAATGGGTCCACCTCAGAACAGGGCAAACTGCAAAAGGCAAAAATGGGCCCCTCATCTAGACAAACTAAGGGAAAATGGGGCTGCAAACAGTTCAAGCAGCTTTAAAAGTTATTATGTGGGAATCAGGAAAAGTATGAAAGAAAAAAAAAGTACGGATAGCCCTAGAGGTTTTTATGGTATTGATCTCCCGTGCAGATTCTCTGATAGCCAACATGGGCTTAGTGCCAAGAGAAGGTATTCCCACACTCACGTCATTCATAGGGCCTCTCCCCTGTATGGAGTCTCTGATGTTCAGAAAGGGCTGAGATGTGAGTGAAGCTTTCCCCACACTCACTGCATTCACAGGGCCTCTCTCCCATGTGGATTCTCTGATGCCTAATAAGGTGCGAGCTGCGAATGAAGGTTTTCCCACACTCACTGCATTCATACGGCCTCTCTCCTGTGTGGATTCTCTGATGTTTAGAAAGGGCTGAGGTGTTAGTGAAGCATTTTCCACACTCACGGCATTCAAAGGGTCTCTCTCCTGTGTGGATTCTCTGATGTTCAGAAAGGCCTGATCTGTGAGTGAAGTTTTTCCCACACTCACTGCATTCATAGGGCCTCTCCCCTGTGTGGAGTCTCTGATGTTCAGAAAGGGCTGATTTGCTAGTGAAACTTTTCCCACACTCATTGCATTTATAGGGCCTCTCCCCTGTGTGGATTCTCTGATGTTGAAGAAGACCTGATCTGCGAGTGAAGTTTTTCCCACACTCACGGCATTCGTAGGGCCTCTCCCCTGTGTGGAGTCTCTGATGTTCAGAAAGGGCTGAGATGTTAGTGAAGCTTTCCCCACACTCACTGCATTCATAAGGCCTCTCCCCTGTATGGATTCTCTGATGCCTAATAAGGTGTGAGCTACGATTGAAGGTTTTCCCACACTCACGGCATTCATAGGGCCTCTCCCCTGTGTGGATTCTCTGATGGAGAAAAAGGCCTGATCTCTGAGTGAAGTTTTTCCCACACTCACGGCATTCGTAGGGCCTCTCCCCTGTGTGGATTCTCTGATGTTCAGAAAGGGCTGAGCTGCTAGTGAAGTTTTTCCCACACTCACCGCATTCGTAGGGCCTCTCCCCTGTGTGGATTCTCTGATGGAGGAAAACGCCTGATCTGTGAGTGAAGCTTTTCCCACACTCACGGCATTCATAGGGCCTCTCCCCTGTGTGGATTCTCTGATGTTCAGAAAGGGCTGAGCTCTTAGTGAAGCATTTTCCACACTCACCGCATTCATAGGGCCTCTCCCCTGTGTGGATTCTCTGATGATTAAGAAGGGCTGATCTGTTAGTGAAGTTTTTCCCACACTCAGTGCATTCATAGGGTTTCTCACCTGTGTGGATTCTCTGATGCTTTATAAGGGCTGAGTTGTCACATAAGTTTTTCCCACAGTCAGTGCATGTATGTTTCCTCTTTCCCCTGAGGATTTCCTGCTGGGTTGTGGTTTCCTTGATGTCCTTCTGAGTTCCCTGACAGGAAATACATTTATCCACTTTCTCCCCTGGCTGGTTTCTCTCCTCTCTCTCTGGTCGGTGCTGAATCTCACAGGATTTTCCCTGCTCATTACTCCTGGACACATTCCTTTTCAATCTTTGTGATAATTCTCTGTGTTTATCCACTTGCCCAGCATCTTCCTGCTGAGAATTCTGCTCCTCTTTCTCACATACCATTGCTTCACCTCCTGTGATAGAGACAGAAACCTCAAAACAGGGACGGAAAGGGGAAGGCCAAATCAAAACAAGTGCTGGAAAGAGGTCAAATAAAAATCAGGCACTCAACTCCCCCATACTCTTCCCCCAAATGTAGTAGTAGGATTTTAGGTTTGCATTTTATATAATTTAGAATGAAGGATAAAGAATAATAATGTAGCATGTATTAAATGTATTGGTGTATGATTTGATCATATCCTGCCAGCAACCCTTTTTGAATAACAGAAAGGAACGGCTTAATGGGACAATGGGTACAGATACATCAGCCAGAATCTGTGTCTGGACTGATTTCAAGGCAGTAACAGATCTTTGAGGGTCACCAATTTGTTGTAGGTTTACCATTTTGAAATAAGAAAGAATCCCATGATGGTTTTCTTTTACATTGCAATTTGACGTTCCTGTTCAAAATGTTGTGTGTAAATTAACTCTGTTTTGTCTGTGAATGAGGAATGTGTGTTTTAAGAGATAAGTGTGAAGGCCATCGCTGAACCAGATGTATGAGGGAGGAACTGGAGACAGACATAAGGGCTCCAGGAGGCAGCAACATGCCCCTATTGAAATGTCAGAGGGGGACAGACTGACGACTTTAAAGGCGAGACAGTCACCTATCAATGGGGACAAGACAGCTGTGACCAAAACCAGCGTGGGATAACTCCCTGAGGAACTTGATGAAAGAACAAGATAAAGGATGAAAAGGATAATTTAAGAAAATGAGCACTTGTCATACAATAATTGATTACAGCATGCCAGTGCAAAACTCATTGGTCCCAATGAAGGAAAATCACTATATAAACAGGATGCTTTGCCATGAAACTTTGGGTTTGTCCTGCCAAGACTTCAAAGCATCATGTCGTAACCAACAGAACCCGGCTCCTCCTACCTGTGATCAACCTAGCTGGCCAATAGATTGATCTGGACTCTGGACTGGTAACTATAACATCGACTGGCAGGACAGTGTATTTGTGTGGTATGATAGAATGCATATGCTAATTGTTGTATCTTCAATAAACGCGACGTATTGCCTTTTTCACTGAAAAAAGATCCCATGTGCTTGTTATAAGACAAATAGGAGAGAGGAGGGGATCAATTTGGCATTCACATCCCATCCAAATTTGCAGGGGAAAGGGAGGAAGCTACTGCCTGGTGTCTGCTAGGATGTGCAGGAAGCCATGAGCTATATTTATCCTGAGGATACAACCCCTGCTAGGGACAATAATGAACTGAGAGACCTCCCAAGGGCTTTGTCGGGCATCCCAGATATTTTCTTCAGGCACTTACAGATTTTGAGTTGGTTTAATGTTTCCTCACCTGTGTAGGGTGCTCTCAGGATCTCTCTTTCCTCTGAACCCTGGAGGTCTGGGACCCATGACTCTTCCCCTTGTTCCACCTGGGAGATCACATCAGGTTTGGATACTGGAAACCCTGCTTAGATGAAAGAAAACCAAGGAGTACAGTTGATTTCATAAGACTTTGTCATAAAAAGCAAACATTCTATTAATTTAACTTCAGTACTTAGTGTGACCTGGTGTGCCATGGGCAGTCCTCACTGAAAATGCCAAGGTCAGGGGAGGCTGAAAAAGGGAGAGCAGATGCTCCTAAAACTGGTGGTTAACACTGAAGTTAAATTCACCGACCAGTCACAAACAGTGCTTCCGATCACCCACACTGGTTATCGAGAAGCTGAAAAAAGAAATCACACAGCTCCTTTTATTGCATTCTAGTTCTCTGACTCCCAATCAGCACCTAAGTCCAGTACAGTGAGAGGTTATTTAAAAACTCTGCAGAAATAGACAAAATGTTCTTCTGACCCCAAAGGGTCAGCGACATTACCAGGTCAGTATAGGTTTGGATCTTACATAAAATACCATGCTGACTGCCAATCCTTTAGCATCTAAACTAAAGGTTTATTATAAAAGAAACAAACAATAAGGGAGTTGTTAAATGGGAAAGCAGTCAGATACATTCAGAAATCTATATATCAGGTTCTTAGCAGTACTGGTGAGTTGCTGGCTTCAAAGTCCATCTGGAACATATCCACAGCTTGGATGGGTCATTCAGTCCTTTGTTTAAAGCTTAGTTTGTAGAAAAGTTGCTCCAGAGGTAGGAAGAGGGACTGAAGACAAAATGGAGTTGATTCAGCTGTCCTTTATATTACTTTTGCCACGTCGCTTGTACTTCCTGTGTCCCAAACACAAGCTTCACAGCACATGGTATGGAAAAGCCTTGGAGTTCTAAGTACACAGGCATATCCCTGCATGTCTTGCTGACTCAATAGATGTATCCCATTAGTCCTTTACATGGGTTCATTGTACAGGTGATGACCCTGGATGGGCTATCGAACCGGCTAGGCACTGCTGACGCCAATATATCTGGGTGTGTCACCCAGCAACACTGCACAAGTGTGGAAATACAGATATACCCTACATATCTATAACTCACAATACAAAGGTGATACAAACATAGAAAGAAAATTATCATACTTAGAAAATCATAACGTTTTCACTGACACATTACATGGCATATCTAGTACGACTCATTGCAATTTATCATATTGGTATTAATAATAAAATTAATAAATAATAATAAAGGGTCTTACAATTTCAGACAGTGTCACACTTAGTAAACCAATGAATTCCCAGGACCATCTCCCCAGGTCCTTGAAGTTGCTGAACACTCTGCTTATGAGAGATTGAAATACCCACATACCTGCTGCAAACACAGACAGACAGACACTGTATCCATCTGTACCCCTCTGTTCACTCTTCTAGAAAATTATGACCAATTTTGTACATAATCTGGTTTGTGAGGTATCATTTGAAAACGCATAATCTACTGAATATTATCCTCCTGTTAAAATGTGTAGCAACACCGTGTCTAAAGTTATGAGGTTTTACTGTGTGATATTACTGAAAAAGTTACAATGCTGGAGAACACCCACAGAGGAGTTCTTCAGAGACAGCAAGGCAAACAGCTGGTCAAACAGCCATTCTCCGGCAGGGAGAAGGTGTGAAGAAGACATTTACAGTCCATTACAGGGACCACTTGAAGCTCATATCTACAACAGACAGCCTGTCACCATGACTCAGCTGAGAACTGACGTTGTTTCTAGTCCAAAGGACTGAATTTTAAAAAGAGGTGAGAAAAATGCTTGGGACTCTCTCTCTCTCTCCCCCATTTCCCTCTGCTCATGACAACTCCTGAAGAACTGAACTTGGGGGGCAGGGGCGGGTTAGGGGGAGTCCTGGCTGAAAGGAAAGTCAGCCTGTCTCAGCATATGGTGAGAGAAACATTTGCTTTGAATCCATTTTAGCTTGTTAAGTTAGACATTTAGTGTTTCATCTTGTATTTCTTTTGTAAACAATTCTGACTTTTATGCCTCATTACCTGTAGTCACTTAAAATCTTTTTTTTTTTTTTTTGGTAGTTAATCTTGTTTTATAGTTTTATCTAACCAGTGTGTTTGGATTAAAGTGTGTTGCAAACTCCATTTGGGATAACAAGGCTGGGGCATGTCATTTTTCCACTGATGAAATGACAGACTTCATATGAGCTTGCATTGTTCAGTAGTGTGCTGGACAATGCAAGATGCACATTTCTGGAAGAAAGTCTGGGACCAGAGAATTTTCTGGGGTTCTCCTGTGGTGCACTGTAATTTGTGAGTGGCTGACTAGCAGCACTCAATACTATGTAGCTGGGAGCGAGTTACATGCCGGAGATTGTGTGTTAACTGCCCAGGAGTGGCTGTTCTCACAGTAAAGCAGTGTAAAAGGCACCCCAGCTTGGGGAACTGAGGGGAAACAGCTGTTCAACAGTCCAAATTGTACTGTGGTTAATGTCACAGATACTCAATTTCAAAGAGTCTCCTAAAACACAGAGAAAGTAAATCCATGTCCCACAAATCGAAGACTCCAGACAGAGGGCAAATCTCCCTGGCACTGCTTCTTGCTGACACAGAGGTCCAGAGACAACGAGAGAGTCCTGGGGAAGCTGGGAACAGTAAGCATGGGCTGGTGGGGTTCAGTGGAGAAAGGGAACAGGAAGGGCAGGGATATTACTGAATGCAGGATCTCAGCTGTCCTAGATGTCAGGATAGCACATATTATAGCCCATTGGAAAACATAATCCCAACTATACATATAAAATGATGGGGTCTAAATTAGCTTTTTCCACTGAAGAGAGGGATCTTGGAGTCATTGTGGATAGTTCTCTGAAAACATCCACTCAGTGTGCAGAGACAGTCAAAAAGTGAACAGAATGTTCGGAATCATTAAGAAAGGGATAGATAGTAAGTCAGAAAATATCATATTGCCTCTATATAAATCCATGGTACGCCCACATCTTGAACACTGTGTGCAGACATGGTCAACCCATCTCAAAAAAGATATACTGGAATTGGAAAAGGTTCAGAAAATGGGGGGGGAGGGGGAGAGAAACCAACTCGGGGTATGAAACAGCTTCTGTATGAGGAGAGATGAAAAAGACAGGGACTTTTTATCTTGGAAAAGAGAAGGGGGGATATCCGAGAGGTCTATAAAATCATGACGGGTGTGGAGAAAGTAAAGAAGGAAGTGTTATTTACTCCTTCTCATAACACAAGGACTACGAATCACACAATGAAATTAATAGGCAACAGGTTTAAAACAAACAAAAGGCAGTATTTCTTCACACAACCCACAGTCAACCTGTGGAGCTCTTTGCCAAAGGATATTGTGAAGACCAAGACTATAACAGGGTTCAAAAACAGAACATGATAAATTCACGGAGGATAGGTACATCAAAAGCTATTATCCAGGATGGGCAGGGATGGTGTCCCTAAATTCTGTTTTCCATAAGCTGGGAATGGGTGACAGGAGATGGATCACTTGATGATGACCTGTTCTGTTCATTCCCTCTGGGACACCTGGCATTGGCCACTGTCAGAAGACAGAATACTGGGCTAGACTGACATTTGCTCTGACCCAGTATGGCTGTTCTTATGTACTAGGGAATCTAGTGAGTTCAATGTAATAGGAAGGAGTAGGAAAATCCCTGGGTGTGGAGAACCCTGCTCACAAACAGGGAAGAATTAGTAGGAGAAGCAAAAGTGGATGGGAACCTGAGAAGCAGTGACCATGAGACGGTTGATTTCAGGATCCTGAAACAAGGAAGAAAGGAGAGCAGCAGAATATGGACCCTGGACTTCAGAAAAGCAGACTTTGACTCCCTCAGGGAACTGATGGGCAGGATCCCCTGGGAGAATAACATGAGGGGGAAAGGAGTCCAGGAGAACTGGCTGTATTTTAAAGAAGCCTTATTGAACTTATAGGAACAAACCATCCCAATGTGTAGAAAGAATAGTAAATATGGCAAGCAACCAGCTTGGTTTAACAGTGAAATCCTTGCTGATCTTAAACACGAAAAAGAAGCTTACAAGAAATGGAAGCTTGGACAAATGACCAAGGAGGTGTATAAAAATATTGCTCAGGCATGCAGGAGTGAAATCAGGAAGGCCAAATCACAATTGGAGTTGCAACTAGAAAGGGATGTTAAGAATAACAAGAAGGGTTTCTACACGTATGTTAGCAAGAAGAAGGTGGTCAAGGAAAGTCTGGGACCCTTACTGAATATGAGAGGCACCCTAGTGACAGAGGATGTGGAAAAAGCTAATGTACTCAATGCTTTTTTTGCCTCTGTCTTCACGAACAAGGCCAGCTCCCGGATTACTGCAGTGGGCAGCACAGTATGGGGAGGAGGTGACCAGTTCTCTGTGGAGAAAGAAGTGGTTCAGAACTATTTAGAAAAGCTGGACAAGCACAAGTCCATGCGGCCGGATGCACTGCATCCAAGCATGCTAAAGGAGTTGGCGGATGTGATTGCAGAGCCATTGGCCATTATCTTTGAAAACTCATGGTGATCAGGGGAGGTCCTGGACAACTGGAAAAAGGCAAATGTAGTGCCCATCTTTGAAAAAGGGAAGGAGGAGGATCTGGGGATCTACAGGCCAGTCAGCATCACCTCAGTCCCTGAAAAAAACATGGAACCAATTTTGAAGCACTTCAAGGACAAAAAAGTGATCAGGAACAGTCAACGTGGATTCACCAAGGGCAAGTCATGCCTGACTAATCTAATTGCTTTCTATGATGAGATAACTTGCTCTGTGGATGAGGGGAAAGCAGTGGATGTGTTATTCCTTGACTTTAGCAATGCTTTTGATATGGTCTCCCACAGTATTCTTGCCAGCAAGTTAAAGAAGTACGGGCTGGATGAATGGACTATAAGGTGGATAGGAAGCTGGCTGGATCATCGGGTAGTGATCAATGGCTCCATGTCGTTTGGCTGCCAGTATCAAGCGGAGTGCCCAAAAAGGTTGGTCCTGGGGTCGGTTTTGTTCAATACCTTCATTAATGATCTGGAGGATGCTGTGGATTGCACCCTCAGCAAGTCTGCAGATGACACTAAACTGGGAGGAGAGGTAGATATGCTGGAGGGTAGGGATAGGATACAGAAGGACCTAGACACATTAGAGGATTGGGCCAAAATAAACTTGAGGAGGTTCAACAAGGACAAGTGGATGTTTGTCCTTAGCTACATCTAGTTTGGGGATGTAACTCAGTGATAGAGCACATGTTTTGCATGTATGAGGCGCTGGGTTGAATCCCCAGCATCTCCAAGTTTGCCTTTGGAGGGGGGATTTGATAGCTGCTTTCAACTACCTGAAAGGGGGTGCCAAAGAGGATGTATCTAGGCTATTCTCAGTGGTGGCAGATGGCAGAACAAGGAGCAATGGTCTCAAGTTCCAGTGGGGGGAGGTTAAAGTTGAATATTAGGAAAAAAATCTTTACTAGGAGGGGGGTGAAGGACTAGAATGGGTTTCCTGGGGAGGTGGTGGAATCTCCTTACTTCGAGGTTTTTAAGGTCAGGTTTTACAAAGCCCTGGCTGGGATGATTTAGGTGGGGATTGGTCCCGCTTTGAGCAGGGGGTTGGACTAGATGACCTCCTGAGGTCCCTTCCAACCCTGATATTCTATGAACGCTAGGAAATTATAAGCTATAATTCAGGAGCAACAGATTCTAATTAGTCTGGAAAAGCAGAATGTGAAAAATAAGAATCAGGGTCATGTGACTTTGGCAATGGGGGACTCAAAAATCCAAGATGCCTGCAGAGAAGAGAGATTATGGCTATTACACATGGTGATGGGAGAGCAAGACTCTCCAGGTCTCAAGAAGCTTCGCTACTAACTTAAGTCATTTTCACACGCTGGGGTACAATCCAGATCAATGAGGAGTTGTGTCATCTGTAATCCTGGGTGATATTCAAGGTTCTGCTGCTGGAGCTCCCCTCTCTGGATACCCCCCGCCAGCATTCAAGGACGCACTGAGTCTCTGTGTGATAAGTAACCCTGGACCAGCAGCTCTGACTCCAGCAGCCTGCTTGTTTCACCCCAAGCACATTCTGGTTTGGGTGGAGTAAGCTCAGGGTTTGAGAGAAGGCCATGGGTAGGAAGCTTCTGTTGGTTATGCTGGACCTAACCCCCAGTTTTACTTGTGTAAACAGGAGATATTTGACACTGTGCGATACTGCTCCTGTGCTCTGTTGCCAAAGTGTTCTGCAGCAGGGGAGGGTCTCTGGCACTGTGTGTGTCACTGGCATATTGGGGTGATGCTGAAACAGGACAGAGTAGAGGTGGCATTGTGGGGCTGGTGTGAACCTTATCTCTTCATTTCCCCTTCCAAGAAGAGAGGGGACAGGAACCCTTACCCAGCGAGGTCACATTCTCATAGTTCTCCTGCATGACGTCTCTGTAGAGGGCTCTCTGAGCGGGGTCCAGCAGAGCCCACTCTTCCCTAGTGAAATACACAGCCACCTCCTCGAAGGTCACCAGCCCCTGAAAGAGCAAGAGTCCAACACTCAGTACCTGCTGCCCTACTCACAGCCCCACTATTTGTGGGGGAGAGCAGCCAATCAAATGGAAGCTCTGGGAGGCTCACAGTCAACAGAGGCCCACCCCCACCCTGCTCAGAGCATCCAGGAAACACCAGGGTGAGGGGACGAAGAGAGAGCCCCTCCTCTCTCCTAGCAGATCCACCACACACCTACTAGCCACAGACTGGTACAGGAGATGGAGCCCCTAGCAGGGTCCAGGGAGAGCTCCTTGGTAGGAAGCCCAACACCCTCCTCATTGTGAGGAGCTGGATATGAAGGGAGGGGAATCTCCCCAAACCTGACTGGTGGGTGCCCCCTTTATCTCTCACAGCAGCTGCTGGTTAGTCGGGTCAGGCTCTAGCACTAGGAGTCTGGTGAGTTTTCCCAGCTCCATATAGGTGGGTTATTTTCTGTTTCACAGATCAGGGCATTTCCACCTCCGAACCTCATGGGTCTGTTCCTATAATCTAGACCACTTATTAAACAACTCCCAGCAGCTTTGCCACCCCCTGTCCTCCTCCCTTTCTCCACCCTGGGAATTTCCTGCCCCGCTCCAACCCAGACGGTGCAAACCTTCCCATCTCCGGCGTATTTGCTGCCCCCTCCCTCCTGCAGGAACCCCCCAGGAACCCGCCAATAATTCCTACATGAACTGGCTCCTCTGCAGCCATTTCTCTCCCCTGTCCCATGGGAGGATGGAATGAACTGGAGCGAAACATGGACGTCATTCTGCAGCCTGGCCGGGTGAGAAGGGAAATTCTGGAGGTTTCAGAACAGGCTTTAGTTAATTTCACATCATGCTTCCCCCAGGCCTTTCCCTGCAGACAGATATCCTAGATTCTGCCATGCTGGAAAAATGCTTGATCTCTTTATTACAGTGCAGACCTGGCCCCTCCTGCCAGGCTAAGCCCAAGGACACATTTTTAACCTCTCTTCTCCCTCACCACATCCTGTAACAAAGTCTTTGAACAAAATGCTCAAAAAAAGGAGAACCAAAGGAGTCACTTTCGATGATTCCGTCTGACATGGACCTCATGGCAGCCACACCCCAGCAAGAGGGACATGGAGTCAGGAACTGGGCTTTCCCCTGTCTGATGCTCATCTTGTCCACAGGAAAGTGACTCTACCAAGGATGCAGTAATTAATCTGTCTGGACAGATTAGATATCTGGAAATCTCTCTCAAAACTCTTCTCTCCCACAGCCCTTTTCAGTCTCTCTTTCTATCTCCTTTTCCCTGTCCCCTTTCCCTGCCCACCTGGTACAAAAGTCCCATTCCTGGGTTGTTTGCTCCCCATGGCTGGATTTGTCCCTGCAATTGCTAATGGGAGGAGAAATGGGGGTGGGGGGGGGAACGCAGTTTGTGTAGAGTCATTTTAATGCCAGACCCCAGCATTTTCCCTTGGTTTCTTTTAGTTACCTGGAGTCTCTGGCTCAGAATTTAGTATTAACAGGGCCTATAGGGCTAGTACCAGCTGGAGAAAGTCATCACCTGGGCCAGGCAGAGAAGCAGCTTTAATTAAGTTCATTTCCCAGCTCAGAACCCCCACTGGGTCTCCCAGATCACAATGAAGGCTGCAATGTGTGACCCAGGAAGCTGAACCCTAATATCCTGAGCAGAGAGGGACAGTGTGTTTGAGCAGCATTCCCGTCTTTAGTTCTCTGGGGAGAGCAGTTAATGAGAGTACCTCCTCACAGGGAGAATTGCTAATCTCATTTGCCCCACTGTCCATCTGGAGTCACTCCTTGTCTTTCCATGCAGTGACTCTGGTTTAACAATGGTCTTAATGAAACCAGATTTCAGAAAGAATGAGTCCAGAATGCTGTGGATGAGACCATTGTGTGGCAATGCTAACCCCCTTTCTACCTCCCTGACCCCCTAGATCTAGGGCAAGGACTGGGGGCACGAATTTTCCCAACGGAACCGGAAGTTCCTGCAGTTTTCAAGAGAGGAGAAAAGCAAAATCTGTGTTTGATAAGTGGATAGAAAGTTATCACAGTGACTGGGCATGGCTGAGGAATGACAGGCAGTGCTTGGAGCCAGGATTCTGACACAAACTGATCAAGGAGACTGAGCATGGTTAATAGCAGCCCCCACAGCCAGGGTCCCCCAGACACCCCCCCAGTGTCCAAAGCCCAGACCCCCCCAGCCAGGGTCCCACCAGGTATTCCCTGGGACCCAGCCCCCATAGTCCCTGGCCAGGGACCCCAGATGCTTCTCAGAGCCCCACCAGCCAGGGAACCCCCACCAGACCTTCACTGCCAGCCTGAGAATCCCAAAGGATTCCCTCCTCCAAGAGTCCCCAGCAGCCAGGGACACTCCCCCCCCCCACTGGGAACTCAGTCCCTCACTGCCTGCCTGGGATTCTCCCACTGCCTGCCTAGGATCCCCACCTGCCCTTCAGCAGAATCTGCCATGCCGTTTGCCAGAGACCCCCTGATGCTTTACAGTGGGACCCCGCACTCCGTCTGCCTGGCATCCCCCAATCTAGTGCCAGAACTCCCCGCCCCAGCTCTGTGCACCGGGCATGGCAATGATCCCAGGAGTCTGCAGGGGAAGCCCAGACAGAGCCCCTGCCACAGCACCAGGCACCCTCTAACCCCCTGCCCCACCTCCCCAAGAGGCCCCCACCCCCACTGTTCTGCAGCCAACAGGCCCCCAGTGACACCCACCTCCAGGACACATAGCCTCAGAGCTGGGCACATCAGAACTACCCCCCGAAACCTCAAACCTCCAGAACCCACCAACCTGACTAGGGTACCCCCTGCCCAGTCACCCAGAGGCCTCCCCCTACCCTTCAGCTCCAGCTGCAATCTCCCCACACAGACATGCCACACACCCCCGCCCCCCGGAACAGTGTTACCTCAGTGTCTGATAAATGGATAGAAAGTTATCACCATCCTCTGCTGGCCAGTCACACAAGCAGAGGGAGCCCTTGGGGATGCTTCTTTAACAGGAGAGTCGAAGGCATGGAGGGCCAAAATAGGTAACAGAGTAGCAGCCGTGTTAGTCTGTATCCACAAAAAGAAAAGGAGTACTTGTGGCATCTTAGTCTCTAAGTACTCCTTTTCTTTTTGCAAAATAAGAAAGAAATTTCCATGCCCTGTCACTAGCAAATAATGGCCACCATGCATCATCCATCCCAGAGGTGGCTACATCTTAGCATGGCAGGAAGAAACCTCTCACAGAGACCATTTGTCATGCTGTGTGGGATACTTCTAGACCCACGCTGTACCCAGAGTGACCTCCTCACCCCGTGCCAGCTGGAGAAAAGAAAAGGGTCCAGCCAACTCTCCTGGTACCAGCTGGGAACCACTGATCCCCCAGACAGGGCTTTGATTTGTATTAAATATGTGGCTGGTCTCTTTCTTCGGGAAACCTTTTAACAGAGATAAAGGAGGGAAAAAATGTTTCTCAAAGGAGCGGAGAAAGATGATCACTGGGCAATTTTAACCCCCTGCAACATCCAGGATGGAGAATGACTAAGGGCCACAGGTTCCCTCCAAGGAAGGAGAAGTTGCTGGGATTTAGAAATATGGGGAACAGCCTTAAACCCAACAGGATTTCTAATTGACATTTGATAACAACATAGAAAGAGGCAAAACCTGAGTTTTGAGATCAATGTTCAGAAATGAAAGAGAAAGGGTGCAAATCGGAGGGATTTTGGATCCATTTTGCAAATTATAGAGGGGAAAGTGGAAAATCAGAGGGATTTTATATCAGTTGTTGATATGAGGTAAAATCTGTGTGTATTTCACATGAATATTTGATAAACGAATAGAGGGGAAACCCCTGTATACCCATGTTCAAGAATCTGAGAAAAAGTGGGGGGCAGTACTACTCAAAAGGATCTGGGGGTTATAGTGGATCACAAACTGAATCTCAGCTAGCCTTGTGATTCAGTTGTGACGAAGGCTAATTCTGTACTGGAATAGGTTATCAAGGGAGGTTTTGGATTCATCATCATTGGAGGTTGTTAAGGACAGGTTGGACAAACACCTCAGTGTTGGGGGCTGGACTAGATGACCTCTCATGGTTCATTCCAGCCCTACAGTTCTATGATTCTATTCTGAGGAAATGTTTGGTCACTTTATTACAGCACTGACCCAGCCCACCCCACTAGCACTAAACCAAGACATTTTGAAACCCTCCCAGTAACAAAGTCTGGAAACCAAATACGAGACAAGAGCAGAACAAAAGGAGTGACTTTGGAAGATTTCCCTTGACATTGTCCCCGGGGCAGCACACTCCCACAGCCGGGGGCACAGGGAGAGTCAGGAATCGGCTTTTCCTCTCCCTGCACCTCACCTTGTTCACTGGAAAGGGAATCTGCCCAGGGATGATGCAGTTAAGTGTGTGGGGGCAGGTTAGAGATCTGGGAATCTCTCTCCCCAGTTATTTCTCCCACTGCCCTATCAATCTCTCTCTCCCTTTTCTCCTTGTGTTTCCCATCTCCTGGCCCTCCCCCTCTGGCAGACAGACAGCCATTCCTGGGTGTTCACTCTCCTATGGCTGGATTGGCTCCTGCAATTGCTAAGGGGAGGAGAGATGTGGGGTGAGAAGGGGCTATTTGTGCAGAGTCTTTTCATACCCATCCCCAGCACGTCCCCTGAGGTCTTTATCAATCACTTGGAGTATCTGGCTCAAATGTGGTGTGGGCAGAGCCTAGGGCTGGCCCATGGAGCTAATTACAGCTGGAGAAAGTCCTCACCTTGCCTGGGCAGAGAGGAAGCTTCACTCCAACTCACTCCCAAGCCCAGACCCCACCAGGGGAGCAACAGCTGGTCAGACTGGTCTCCCAGATCACAATGCAGGCAGCAGCGTCTGACCCAGGAAGCTCAACCCTAACATCCTGAGAAGAGAGACACAGTCAGACAGAGACTGAGGGCTTCCCCCCGTCCCTTTAGCAACAACTGAAACCCCCTCCCCACAGGGACATATCCTGATTTTATTTGCCCCCATTAATCTGGAGTCACTGCATGTTCTTCCTTGAAGTGTCTCTCGATTAACACTGGTCTGAGTGAAACCAGAAACACGGCTCAGGAGGGATGAGGCCAGAGTCCTTTCCTCCTCCCTCACCCTCTTCTTCTGAGAGGGATTCAAAGCAAAAGTTTTCCCTCCCAAACTTGAAGTTCCTCCAGTTTTGAAAACGGGGAGAGAAGCAAAGCCAATCGTGATTTCATATCAGTAATTGACAAATGGATAGAAAGTTATCAGCAGCCCCTGCCAGCCATTCACACAGGTGTGGGGAGCCCTAGGCGATGCTTCTTTCACAGGAGAATGCATGGCATGGAGGAGCCACATTTTTAAAGAAATTTCCATGCCCGGTGACTGGCAGATAACGGCCAATAGGGACCCACTCCAGAGACGACCACATCTCAGCACTGGATGAAACCACCCCTCATGGAGACCATTCGTCATGGGTGTTTGGGATACTGCTGGTGAACATGGTGAGGGGCTAACAGCATGGAGATTCTCAGCCACTCTGGGTACAGCCTCGGCAGCAAGGAGCCAGGCACAGACCGAGCCCTCATCCTGTGCCCCCCGAGGAAAAGAAAAGGGTCCAGCCAACTGTCCTGTGAGCAGCTGGGAGATACCATTCCCTGAAAGAGGGGGAGGCCTCTGGCTTTGATGTGTATTAAATATGGGGCAAGTCACTTTCATCAGCAAACATTTTAATGAAGATAAAGGGGGAAAGAAATGAGTCTCAAATGAGAGGAGAAAGTTGACCCTTTAACTCCCTGCAACCGGCAGGATGGAGAATGACTAAGGTAACAAATTCCTCCAAAACAGGAGAACTTGCTGCAACTAAACATGGGAACATCTCCAAACAAAAGATGGTTTTTTTAAACAGACATTTGATAATTACATGAAAAAAGACTGACATCCATGTTAAGTCATTAAAGAGAAAAGGGTGGAAATGTGGAGAATTTTGATCGATTTTCACAAACTAGAAAGGAAAGTGGAAAAATGTGAGGGATTTTAATATCGATAGTCAATAGTAGGTAAGGAGGTAAAATGAGAGTGAATTTCATATTGTTATTTGACAAATTGAGAGAAAATGGGAAACATCGGCAAAACTTTTCTAAGTATATTCAAAAATTGGAACAAAGGATATTTTATGTTAATATTTTATTATTAGTGAGACATGGAAAAAAATCTCAGGGAATATTAAATTAGAAATAGATAGCTAGAGAGAAAGGAGGACAATTTTTAGGCCACTCTCCTGAAGACGACACCTGTGTGTAGCTCAGAGATTTGTCTCTCTCACCAAGTGAAGCGGGTCCAATAAAAGATATTACCTCACCCACCTTGTCTTTCTAAATGCAAAGCAATGCACATTGGAGAGAAAAACTGCAGCTACTTATACACTGTGGGGTAAATTAACTATCAAATGCAGCCCATAGATCCAGCTTTAGCATTTATTTTATGCAGCAGTAATGCAAAGAACCAACAGGCCTGTATCCTGTACGATACTGGCTTGAGCAGTTAGTATAAGGCTTGAGGCCTATGAACTCTGGCACAGATAAATGGTCTAACAGTCACCCCTAAGGTTTGGAGAACTGGAAACAGAGTATCTAAGGGGGAATTTCATCCATAAAGACATCAGCCAACCAGAGGAACATGAGCTAACACAGGCTTTTCAATAGAACATTCACAGATGTCTGACCACAGGAGTGCCACAGCACCGAATTGACACATTTGACCCCAAGATCATAAGATCATTAATACACAAACCTATAGGAGCAGGACACCCCAACATTAGTAGGGAGAGGAAATACAAATAAGGAAGAGGGGAGAAACGCCTATGAACATGCATTACACCTAGTGGCATCAGCAGAACATATTATCGGCTACACAACTCAAGAAAGGGATCTGCATGTTGCGGTAGACAGATCAATGAAAAGCTCCACTCAATGCACAGCTGCCAGCAAAAAAGCTAACACGTGCAGATTCATAAGGAATGGGATGGAGAATAACACGGAACATCTGTATATAAATCAAGGGGGCAGCCTCCAATATCCTGGGACCACCATGGCTACTACAGCACTGCACACAGGATATTTTAGATCTATCTTGGAGAACTGGGGAAGAAATAGGTCTAAAAAGAAATATTTGATAATGAGATAAAAGCACCCGGATGTGAAGAGATTTTCTGTTAAGTGAGAGTAGTTGGACACTTTGAGGAGATTGTATATGGAAGTTCATTAAACAGACAGTAATAATTCCCCCCCACACACACCATTCACATGGGCAGCAGGGAGCCCTTTGGGGAGGTACTTTAAGAGGGTAGGTGAGGGGAGTATGGAGCAGGAAAACTCCCTGGCAGTGGGGAGGAGGCAGCAGCAGGGGCAGGCAGGTGACTGGCGGCTGGGGGGGGAGCTGTGTTGGGCAGTTGGGGGCAGCAGTAGCCAGGACTGCGTAACCTCGGGCTGGACAGTCTCCAGTGGGTTTTCTTCCCTCCTTGCTTTGGTGCTGGCACAGAATGGCCACCCCATCCCGCCCCAGAGGCAGCTGGGTCTCAGGGCTCGGCAAGCTGCACCCATTAAGCCCCTTCTCATTTGGGGAATGATTCAGGACAATTTCCCACAGAAATAAAATTCGCTGCAGGTCACACTTCCCAGATCTGAGGCTGTCACATGAGCACTGGGGAATGAGAGAGAAAACGGGGCAAGCTCTGAAAGGCAGACGGGAGGGAGGGGCAGGAACTGCTCCCTCCGCACCGACCCGTCACAGCCCCGTGCTGCTTGGGCCCCGCAGGAGACGGCCTCTCTCGGACTCGGCCCGGGGCCGTGGCAGCAGGGGGGACCCCGCGAGGGGAGCCGGGCTGTCTGAGGCGAGGGGAGCAAAGCCGAGCCGGCCCCGGGGCGCGGCGGGAAGCCGGGGCGGCCGGGGGGCCGGGCTCCCGGCACCGGGGGCTCTCCGCCGGGGGGCGCGCCCACCTGGGGGCACGCGGCGGGGTCCTCCCGGGGCCAGCGGCTCCTCCAGCCCCCGGCCTGGGGTACACCAGGCTCCGGGGGAAGCACCAGCGCGGCCCCGGCCCGGGCTCGCTCGCAGGGCTCCGCGGCCGGGGACGGGCGGGTCGCGCTCCGGGGCCGCTCCCCGGCCAGGCGCGGAGCCACGCGGGGGGCGCAAGTGACCGCGACCCGCTGCCCGACCCCCGGGACGCGCCCCTCGGGCAGGAGACCCCCGGCCCCAGGGCCAGCCGCTGGGCGGGTCTCCCCGGCCGCCGGGCCGGTCGCCGCCTCGGGGGCCCCGGCGCTGGCCAAGGGGGGCGCGGCCGGTCCTAGGGGCGCTGCCCGGGCCCCGGGGCTGAGGCTCCGGCCGCCCAGCGAGCAGCCCCGGCCCGCGCTCCCCGGCTCCCCCCGCAGCGCAGCGCAGCGCAGCGGCCGGGCCCAGGGGCGGGGCCGCGAGGGACCAGGCCCCGCCCCCGGGACCCCAGAGGTCGCCTGAGAGGCGGGAAGGCGCCGGGGGGCTCCGGGCGGGGGGGGGGTGTGTGGTCGGGTCTGAGAGGCGCCGGCTGGGGGAGGGGCGTGGGCCGGGGGTGTCTGCGGGGGGAGGGGATGAGAGGCTCGGGGAGAGTCAGGCTGACCCTTACCTGCGCTGCAGAGGGCGGAAGCGCCTCCCGGGGCAGGCTGGGAGATGTAGTTCTTGACTCTCCCGGGAACGGAAGTGACGTAAAAGGGGATAACGAGGCGGTCTGGGAAGGCGCGCGGGGCGCTGCGGCTCTGCCTGGCTCGCGCGCGGCCGCTGGAGCCTCTCCCGGAGGCGGAGGAGGGTTTCGTGCAACTCGAGCCCTTGTCTTTGCCCCGCCCACAGAGAGGAGTGCAGGGAGAGATGTGACCCCGCCCCGCCATGTTTCCCGGCTCCGGGCATGCGCAGATCGCGGGGTTGGGGGGGGGGTCCCGCATGCGCAGAGGCGGAGCTCGCAGGCGCTGCATTTCCCAGAGCCCCTGGTTCGGGAGCCGGGCGGGGCCGGATCAGCTGCTGCGCCCCGGGGCTGCGGGGCCGGGCGGGGCCGAAGGGTCTGTGCCGGGGAGACCTTCATTCAACCCCCCCCCCGGGCCCGCCCCGCTGCGGAGCTGCAGCCTCCAGGTACCGGAGCGAGCCCCGGGGCCGGGCGGTGACGCTGCCCCAGTGTCCGGGGGGGACCAGCCCCCCCGGGGTCCCTGCGTGGGGCCGGGCGGGGGGGGGAGACCTGGGGAAAGGGGCGGAGGGAAAATGTCGGCGCAGCCCGGACATGGCCGGGGAGGGGGGGGGAGAAGAGCCGGGGCCCCCCGAGGGGCGGGGAGGGAAAGGGGGGGGCTGAGATCCCCTCGGATTTACCGCTGCCCCCTCCCCTGGGGCCCCCCCCGCTCCCGCCCTGCCCCCTTTCGCTCCCGGCAGCGACGAGCAGCAGCCCGGGTGACCCCCCCCCCCTTCCCCCACCTCCCTGAGACGGGCTCTGCCCCCCCCCCCCCCGGACCCCGTTTCCTCCCCACTTCGCCCGTGGCCACTTCAAATCTCCGCCTTGGGGGGGGGGTGTCCCCCCCATTTTACCTGCAGTGACTTGTCCCGGTTTAGGGGGGAACCTCCTGAGGCCCCTTCCAACCCTGACATTCTGTGGGAAGTGCCCCAGATGGAGACGGCCCAGTCCCAGGTTTCCCAGCCCCTACTACTTCCCCGCCCCCACCCTGCCCAACCCAGCAGCCCCCCTAAGACACCACCGGCCAGTCACATTCCCAGACCCCACTGCCAGTGACCTTCTGACTCCAGCCCCACTCCTTTCCCCTGTGAAAGCCACATCACCCAGGGCTCCCTGCCGGCCATGTGAGTGTGAGGCAAGAAGAATCCATCCCACTCTGTTGTTGGTTGAATATCACTGTATAATCCCCTCAGATTTCCCCTCCTTTCTCTTGAACTGTTGAATAGTGGCATAAAATCTCCCCAGATGTTGGTGCTTCTCTCTTATAGTTGGCAAATATTTCATTTGTGCCCCATTTTCTCCTCCGTTCTGAAACACTGATATCAAATTCTCGAAAATCTTCCCACTTTTCTCTCCAGGTGTCTGACTGAGATCAGGGCTCCTCTCCTACTGAGCGTGGCCCTATTCTGCCAGGTGGTGCAGAGATCCCAACTGAGATCTGGGCCCTGTTCTGCCAGGCACTGAAGAGCCCCCAAGTGTGATCAGACCCTACTGTTTCAGGTAAAACTGAGATCCGGCCCTCTTGTGCCAGGCAGTGCATGACGGCGGCCACCATTGTGCTGGGTACTTTAGAGACCCCAACTGAGATCCGTGTCCCAGTTGGGCCTGGCATTGCACTTAACCTGATGAAGATCACCCCCCACCGCTGTACCAGGCACTGCACGGACCCTGACAGAGATCCTGGCCCCACATTTTGGCTGGTGCTGCAGGGACCCCAAAGAAAATCATGGATCCTGTAATGCCTGTAACCCCTGTTTGAGGTCAGGCCCCTTGTTGTGCAGGGTTCTGCACAGACAGTGACCAAGATCAGGGTCCCCATTGTGACTGTTGCTGAACAGACACCGAGGGTATGTCTACATTGCCATTAAAAGCCCACAGCTGGCCCATGCCAGCTGGCTCAGGTGAAGGGGCTGTTTAACTGCTGTGTAGATGTCTGAGCTAGGGCTGGAGCCAGGCTGTAGGACCCTGTGAGGTTGGAGTGTGCCAGACCTTGGGCTAGCTCCCAAGCCGGGACATCTACACCACAATTAAACAGCCCCCATAGCCTGAGCTGTGTAAGCCCAAGCCAGCAGGCACGAGCCAGCTGCTGGTGTCTAACTGCAGTGTAGATATGCCCCAGTGACAGTCCTTGCCATGAAAAGCTCAAAAGCTAAACAGGCAAATAGTGGGAGGCTACTCTCCATTTTACAGATGGGGAAGCTGAAACTCAGAGAGCTGAAGTAATTTGCTCAAGTTTGCATGGAGAATTTGGGGCAAAACTGGGATCTGAACCCAGATTATTTGAATCCTTGCCTCTCCCCTTAACCCCAAGCCCAGCTTGTGTGTGTACAGTGGTGTTGTGGCCTGTGTTCACATTGCATTGTCTTCAAAGAGAGGCTGTGGCATTTCCTTCATTGGAGGTTTTTAAGACCAGGTTAGAGATACTTAGACCTGCCTCATCACAGGAGGCTTGAGTAGATGACTTCTCAAGATCCCTTCCATGCCTACATTGAAATAATTCTCTTTTGTGCTGTGTCAAGGTTCCTTCCCAACTCTGAACTCTAGGGTACAGATGTGGGGACCTGCATGAAAATCTCCTAAGCTTATTTTTACCAGCTTAGGTTAAAACTTCCCAAAGGTACAAACTATTTTCCTTTTTCCCTTGGACTTTATTGCTGCCACCACCAAGCGTCTATAACCGGGAAAGAGCCCGCTTGGAAACGTCCTTCCCCCCCAAAAATCCTCCCCAAACCCTACACCCCCTTTCCTGGGGAAGGCTTGATAAAAATCCTCACCAATTTGCATAGGTGAACACAGACCTGCATGAAAATCTCCTAAGCTTATTTTTACCAGCTTAGGTTAAAACTTCCCAAAGGTACAAACTATTTTCCTTTTTCCCTTGGACTTTATTGCTGCCACCACCAAGATATATAACCGGGAAAGAGCCCGCTTGGAAACGTCCTTCCCCCCCAAAAATCCTCCCCAAACCCTACACCCCCTTTCCTGGGGAAGGCTTGATAAAAATCCTCACCAATTTGCATAGGTGAACACAGACCCAAACCCTTGGATCTTAAGAACAATGAAAAAGCAATCAGGTTCTTAAAAGAAGAATTTTAATAGAAGTAAAAGAATCACCTCTATAAAATCAGGATGGTAAATACCTTACAGGGTAATTAGATTCAAAACATAGAGAATCCCTCTAGGCAAAACCTTAAGTTACAAAAAGACCCAAAGACAGGAATATCCATTCCATTCAGCACAGCTTATTTTCTCAGCCGTTTAAACAAACAGAATCTAACGCATCTCTAGCTAGATTACTTACTAAGTTCTAAGACTCCATTCCTTTCTGTTCCCGGCAAAAGCATTAAACAGACATAGAGGCTTTGTTTCTCCCTCCCCCCAGCTTTTGAAAGTATCTTGTCTCCTCATTGGTCATTTTGGTTAGGTGCCGGCGAGATTATCCTAGCTTCTTAACCCTTTACAGGTGAAAGGGTTTTTCCTCTAGTCAGGAGGGATTTTAAAGGTATTTAGCCTTCCCTTTATATTTATGACATGCTGTGCCATGTTCTACTCTGAGCTGTTGGAACTGTGATGCACCATGTCAAGTTGCATAGTTTTATGGTGCATTGTTTTACCTCAGCTTGTTTGGTGCCTGTGTTGTGTTGGTTTGTTTTGAGCTCTTTTTCATTGTGTACTTTAGGGTGTGTTAGTTTGCATTGTGTTGCTTTCTTTTCCTTTGTATTGTCATTTTATGCTCTGGAGTGTAGGGATTTTTTTGTTGTTGTTTTTGTTTCCTGAGTTGCCTGACGTTATGTTGTGGTGGGCATCTTTCTGTATGTTGTGTTTTTATATGTATATATTGAATAGCATCATAGAAATGTCAGTCTGGAAAGGACCTCAAGATGTTATGAAGTCCAGCTCTCTTTGCTGAGGTAGGACCAAATATGTGCAGATTATCTCTGACAAAGGTTTGTCCTACCTGTTCTTCAAAACTTCCAGGGAAAGAGAAGCCAGCCTTGTAAGACTATTCCAGAGTTGAACTACCTTAGCTCTGGTGATACCCACACAGATTTTAGTGGTGAGCAGCTCTGGGGTCTCCTCTCTCTCCAGTGAGTGGGCAGCTGCGTAAATAGACTAAAGTTGGGAGGAGAAAAATTGACATGTCCAAGGTCACCCAGGCTGTCTGTAACGGAGCTAGAAATAGATCCCAGTTCTAGTGCCATCATACTGCTGTTTCAGGTACTGAAGGTCTCTGCTACGCTGGTGTTTTAGGCACTGGTGCAAACCCTTAGTACAGGCAGAATTTACACTAGTGCACTCTGATTGGCACTGGTGCACCATGTCCCAGTTCGAAGGCTTTCGAGGGCAGGTGGGGGACAGTGACCTTACTGAGGCCTGGGGCTGGCTGAACAGTGCAGCTGGTAATGGAGGGGCAGCCGCAGGGTGGATTTGATTTAAATCGAGTCTTCCTGACTAGTGATTTAGTCGTGGTTCTCTACATAAAAGTTCTTGTTGGTTGTTATAATCTTAATACATATTCTTCATAACTCAGAGATAGATGTAGGTTTCATTTTTAGAAGGTACACACTATACATTTTTAAACCGTGATTTATTTTGAAAACTTTTCAGATTAGTTTTACAGCTATATCAGAAAATGAATGATTGTTTGGTTATTTCATTTACCAAAGGTAACTGAAGCAGATATTTACGAACTCATTGGGAGGTGAACTATCTCCAACAGGTTAATTATTAATATTTGGAGGATTTTCTTGCCATGCTGTATTAGGTGGAGATCCTCACCAGACAGACTTTTAAATTGTTTTATTTAACTAAAATAACATTAAGTATTCTGGATGTTTTTTCTTCAAGAGCAAACATATAATATTTTAACAGAAGAAGCATATGTCCCTTTCTTCTCACATTTATCTGCAGACTTCTTCTCCTTGTCCGGATCTATTCCGTCCCCAACAATCTTCTGTTCACTGAACTTTTTGAAACTTTGCACTTTTAGCGAGTGGTAATGGATTGACTCTGTATACACAAATTTGCAGGGGGACAAGAGAGTTGAGGTCTGGTATTTCTCACCTCTCTCTATATATTTATTTAAAAACATTTTTGCTGTTAAGAAGCATGTTACTTCTGGAGACACACATCCACGGTTTGAGAACTGCAAAACTAAGCATCTCTGATGGTATCATCTAGACTGAGCACTGAGTCCCATTGGGTAGGTAGATTAACCTAAATAATATATACAGAAGCCTGTGGAACCCCATAAGATTGGGTTCCTAATCCATGAATATTGGAACTCATTTACAAAACTTTTCTTAAACATTACATTAATATATTGTCTCACAATATAGAATTAGAATTTATAATCCCTATTCCATGATGAGAGACCTTTGAGCTACAACGTATCTTAATTAAAACTATCTTTAGATAAGTTTATACCTCAAAAACATTTTGCAAAAAAATCTGATTTAAATCAAAACAATTTTTATCCACCCTGGGCAGCAGTGAGTGCTGGAGATATGAGCCAGGAGCACAGCCCCACAGGACTGGACACTGACGTCTCCTGACCCAGGACACACACCCACAGCTGTGTGCAGGGACTGCAGCTGAGCTGCCCTGCCAAGACAGCCTGTGCATCCATGGACAAACCACCTCTTCCTGCAGCCTAATACAGTGTTATCTGGGGACCTTTCCAAGCTGAGGGTGACGGGGCTCAGCAGATACTGGCTCTGTCACTGACGTTGGGGAACTCACAGCCCCTCTCCGTTTCCCTCCTACCCATTGTCTACTTGGATTGTGATCTCTTTGGGGCAAGGACTGTCCCTCTCTGTCTGTGCAGTGCCCAGCACAATGGGGGTGCTGATCTCCATCTGTGTCTGTGCAACGCAAAGCACAGTTTATAGACTCACAGACTTTAAGGCCAGAAGAGACCATCATGATCATCCAGTCTGACCTCCTGCACGTCGCAGGCCACAGAACCTCACTCACCCACTCCTAGAATAGATTCCTAACCTCTGGCTGAGTTAATGAAGTCCTCAAATGTTTATTTAAAGACTTCAAGTTACCAAAAAATATCCACCATTTATACTAGTTTAAACCTGCAAATGACCCATGCCGTGCCCCATGCTGCAGAGGAAGGCCAAAAAACCAAAACCCCAAGGTCTCTGCCAATCTGTCTGTGGGCAAAATTCCTTCCCATCCCAAATATGGCAATCCATTAGACACTGAGCATGTGGGCAAGACCCAGCAGCCAGACAACTAGGAAAGAATTCTCTGTAGTAACTCAGAGCCCTGCCCATCTAGTGTCCCATCACCGGCCTTTGGAGATATTTGCTGCTAGCAGTTGCAGATCAACTACATGCCATTGTAGGCAGTCCCATCCTACCAATCCCTCCAGAAATGTATTGAGCTCAGTCTTGAAGCCAGTTAGGTTTTTTGCCCCCACTGCTTCTCTTGGGAGGCTGTTCCAAAACTTCACTCTAATGGTTAGAAACCTTCGCCTAATTTCAAGC